AATTGCATGAACAAAGAGTTGGACAATTTGAACAACGAATATCAGTTGAGTCCTGACAATATGGGCAAGTTGAAACGCGTTATGGATAAAAAGATCATGCAATTATCTTTCGACAAACCCATGGAAACAGAACACAGAAAGCGACCGGGTGCAGCATCAATGGCTCGCAAAGCCATGCCAGGTGTTCCGCCCGAGACCATTGATAAAATTATGGGTAGCCTAGCAAAATCGAGCATGCATTGCGCAAATGTCCTGCAATGAGAGATCCGGCATTCGGGTTTTACGTGACACGATAAACCGGGGAATTGGCTGAATGATAAATGTGGAAAATGATTTTGAATTTTCTTTTTTTTTGCTCAAGAGCTGGCTCTTTTTCTGTTATCCATATTGTGATTTGCCGACCGAACCATGCAATCATGCGAAATTCATGTGTGAAAACTGTTGCTTTTTTCGGAGTCTAGAAAAAAAAAAGGAGATTTTATTTGAACTCGGTCCTGTGATGCAAATAAGCCACCCACTTTCAAATCTCTGACCACGGAGGTTCCAATGAACGAGTTTGTTTGATTGGAGAGTCGATGGGATTGGCAATACTGGATAGATACTGCATAATCACAAAGCGAATACACCTCCAGGGGGCAAATGAAAATTCAACTTAAAGTTCCAAGTCCACGGGTCGATGCAGAATCTATTGGAATGCATAATTCAAAGTTGCTTCATAATGGTCCGGATTTAGGTACCTACTACCTAGGGAGGTATTCACAGCTACTAACTAGTAGTCACAGGAATATATTTCGACAGTTGGTCCGTGACCTCGCTGGAGCCTCCGGGACTGGAGGTACGACTGGTAGTAATATATATATACCCGGGGCCTAATTGCACCTAGCTCTCCAGGGCTGGAGTGCCAGATCACGCCGGACATTCAAGTTTCAGCACCAGACCTCGGGAGGCTCCGGAGAGGGTAAACCCACGAGTCAATATTTCTAACATCGCCCAATGGCACATGAATCATAAGTACGATGCCAGGCAGCCTTTACATATAATGCTAGCCTAAATTTCCTTAGCATTAGGCTTTTATTATGATTATCCCTAGGTTAACGACTCCGCTTAAATTGACAAGGGGTGAGGACCGTGCCAAAGACACCATCATAATGATATAATGGGGAGCCTCCCCCTTTTTCTCTCGATAGGCTCACGGATGAATCGGTGATCTCAACGTTACTTCTGGGCCTTAACAATGATCACAGTATATATTCCTGATTGTTGAAGATTCAAGTACATACGACCATAGGGTGTGGAGAACAGGGCTTCCCGTCCGCTCAGCCGTACTTAAGCCACACGCCGGCAGGTTAGTAGTATGGTGGGTGACCACATGCGAATCCCTGCTGTTGTATGTTTTTTTTGCTTTTTCCCTCATTTTTTGCGTCGTCTCCCTTGTCTCTTGGTTGGATTTTTGGTCGTAGAAAATTTGGTTATGACAGACGACTGGACACGTGAAGAGACGATATTTCATGCTAGAGCTCGTGGCGGCCACCGCGGAACATCATTACATCTTCCGAAACCCAAGGGAAAGGAGAGATCTCAGCTGGATGATCTCTAGCTACATAATATCGCAACTCATTGGTAGGAAAGTATAATCGAAATCCGAAGGGCCGCGTGGTAATTCCTCTACTATAGCTTTCGTGAATTCCCTGTATTTAGCTAGTAAAGTCCTTGCATATCGTCATCCCGGAGCTCCTCAGTTTCTGGCATTTGGTACAAGCTCTTAAAGATGAACCCCGTGATTCGTTGGGAAAAATTTCTCCCTACATTCCAGATCCTGCAGTGCATCACCGTGACCTTAACCGGCAGGATCGGCGAGAGCAATGGCGAGGAATGTAGACGTCTAAAATTGTCCGAGAAAATGTCCGTCAGCTTATAAAATAAAAAGGTAGACCATAAAGCTAGATGCTAGAGCTCAACACTCAGGCCGCCATCACTACCGAAAAGATGGCGTTCACTTCGACCAACCATGGATTGCGACAGCTGAACGTCGGCATCGCTTTGATGTTGTCCGCATCAGCTACCGCCGGCTATAATGCGAGCCAAATCAACAGCTTACTTGTACTGCCTGAATGTGAGAGCTCTCCTTAAACGAAATCTCAAATTGCCATGCTAATCAGGAGAAGTCGCGTTCTTTTTGAGTGGACTCAACGCTAGTGCTAAAGGTCTCATCATTGCCTCCGTTTCGTTGGGATCTTTCCTTACCTTCATCCCTGCTTCATATATTGCCGATCGCATGGGACGCCGAGCATGTGTTAGTATTGGAGCTATATTAGTTATGATTGCAGCTATAGTTCAAACAGCCGTGACACACCCTTGGGCTTTCTTCGGCGCCCGAGTAGTTACCGGTATGGGTGTTGGCATTTCGCAAACCGCTGCGCCGCTTTTGATCGCCGAGTCAGCACATCCACGGCAGCGAAGGAAACTCACGGGTTTATACAACGCCGTTTGGTTCTGCGGCTCAATTACAGCTGCCGGAATCGCTTTCTCCACATTATCTCTACAAAATAGCTGGTCATGGCGCATTCCTTGCCTAATGCAGATTCTTTATCCATCTTTACAACTAGTGGCCGTTTGTGTTATCCCCGAGAGTCCAAGATGGTTGGTTTCCAAAGGTCGCAGAGGGCAAGCATTGGCAATGCTCACAAGATATCATGGAAATGGAAATCGGGAAGATGTGGTGGTACAGGAGCAGTATGACCAGATCTGCAGCAGCATCAGTGCGGAGGAGGATCTGAAGTCGGCTTCTCAATGGAGCGCATTTTTGAGAACAAAGGGCGACGCCCACCGACTAGCTATTTGCATTCTTTTGGGATTCATGCAAGAATGGACTGGAAACGGTAAGAACGGCTTTTATTCTTCTTATTACGATTTAATCTCTGACTGGATCATATAGGCATCATCTCCTATTACCTTGCCCCAATCCTCTCCTCCGTCGGGATAAAAGACTCTGTCCACCAGTCAGCCGTCAACCTGAGCCTGCAAGTCTGGAACCTGATTTTTGCCGTTGGTGGTGCAAGCACCTCTGATCGCTATGGGCGACGGGTCCTCTGGATGAGCTCGACAACTTTAATGATGATTTTCCTGGCCACAATAACCCTCATGACTGGTCTTTTCGCGGAGCTCCACATAATTGAAGCTGGAATCGCGGTAGTTCCAATGCTTTTTCTTTTTTGCGCATCTTACGACTTTGCCTACATGCCCCTTTTCATCGCATACCCCGCTGAGATTCTTCCGTTCCAACTCAGAGCGAAAGGACTCGCCATCACTCTCACGACCGACTCGCTGGCCTGCTTCTTCAATCAATACGTCAACCCCGTGGCATTTTCCGTTCTTCATTGGCGGTACTTTTCTCTGTACTTGGGTTGCCTTGCGTTTTTTATGGCAGTTGTATACTTCTTATTCCCAGAAACCCAAGACAGAACACTGGAAGAGGTCGCCCGCATTTTCGAAAGCAAGGAATGTCTTTCGGTGGAGTCTGCCGACGAGGAGAAAGATTTTGGTACCGTGCCTTACGCCCCGAAGAGCCAATTTTAGGTTGGTATTTGTTGACTACATACGGACACGGGAACTGTTACATATCAATTGTTGATGGATTGTCTACAAATTTGTTCCATCGTTTGTGTTTATTGACAGCATCCAATACCACTGAACAGAGCCACTTGTCACGTAATATATTACAAGTGGCTTCGATTTGACTTTTAATTCAAATATAAGTTGCATGTATTTCCATTCCAAAGAAGTGATACAACCCATCATTATTCCCGACTGCCATTCCCATACATCGCGGGGCTACTTTCCACAAAGGTATGAAAATATCTGTATACACTTGTATAATTCGTATTATGCATTCCTCGAACAGTGGCTGGTCATAGGCGACACTGAGCGACTTTTGGCCCGTAAGATCTAATAATATCACTCAATTGTTGGCCGAAAAAAATTCATGAGCGACAGTGCGCCAGGGGCATTGCACCTCTGTAATCTTTACGGGTTGACAATAGCAAAGCCTACTGATAGTACTATTCCTGATTTCTACAACGATTCCAACTAAAGAGAACAGTATATGACGATACAGTCACCCAAGAAGACTCAACATCTAAAGATATTTCTTGTTGACCATACTTGTGGCAACTGAGCATGCTTCGCCTTAGTCGGGACTTTCTGAATCTCAAGGGAAATAGGAACGTCATAAATTTGGCAGAGAGCAATGAAAATGATGTTATTTGGAAGAGCTTTGAATTTCTCCAGCCCCTGACACTAGTGCTTATATCAAGATTTACGCCCCGTTGGTGATCTTCAAGTTGGCGAGGCTTCACTTCTCGTTTTCCGACAAGCACACCTAATCGAGAAGGGACCATGTGGGTGAAGGACAAGCTATGATAGGCGATTGGGTTTATTAGGGGCGATAAGTCTAATTAACCAAGTGGATCTTTGCCCTGAAACTCCGTTAGTGCTGACTATACAAGCCATGTGCTGCCGATCGTCGTTTCGAACTAATAGACACGAACTGTCCAATTGTGAATCTGGTGAGAAATGGAAAGCTTTCAATTAATAGACCAAAAAGGAAATATTAACTCTTATCCCAAATCGTGGCGTTCATATTTTTGTAATGATATAGCCCCAATCGGTACTTTACAGCGACAATTCTTTGAAATTAGCCCCAAGGCCGAAAAAAGCCCCCAATAGAATAGCAAAACTATGGCAGTTCTGTACTTCTAATACTTATTACGACCATAAGCTGACAGGATTTGGAATGGAGAACGTTGCTTCCAACTAGCTTTGTGTAAGAGTATTGCCGACGGCGATGTAGATGTCGGCAACAAAAAACTCGGATCATTATCTATAAATACCCTCGCACGCATCTACTTTGAATTAATCTACAGAATCAACCCAGGGTTATCTTCTTCGGTATACTTTCAGGTTCATCCGCACATTATCTTGATCGTTAGATTGAATTTGATATGATGATGAAGCTCGGTGGACTTATCTTGGGCACTCTTGTAGCAACAAGTGCAGCACATCCCCAGAATATTCCTGCAGCTAGTGTCCATGCACGCAGTGTGACTTCTCCTGCTGTCGTCACAGCCGCAGGCACCACAGCTACCACTGCCACATCAACTTCCACTTCCTCGACTTGCACGGCCGGTGACACCTCTACCACCGATGGCGTGCAGGCAATTCTCGATTCTACCGGTGCCATCGACTGGTTAGATATAATGTTCGACAGCATGCCAAATGGTGAAAGCGACTGGGTCAACTCCCTCTGGGAAATTGTTTTCCCTGACGAAGGCACATCTCCCTTGACTGGCTGCGGAGACATTGGTAGTGACTGTGATCCATCCTCCATGTGTTCAGCATATTCCTCTCAAATGGCATACTGGGTCTTTCGATCAGTTTCCATCCTGCACAGCAAAGTCAATGTTGTCCATGACAAGCTTCTTTGGACTGGCTGGCTAGCTGGGTTGTCGATCGACCAGATCGCCAAGGACTTTTCTTCTGTCTCTCCTGATCAAACATGGGCGAAGTGGATTTCTGCAGCTTTCAGTATGGCAGGCGGGATTGCGACCGGTATTGATTTGAGCAAACCTCTTCGTGGAATGGTCGGATTCGCTGCTGCTGGATTGACAGACGTTAGTCTGACCAACACCGGAGGTGATAGTGTTGATGTAACCTCAGTGGAGAACACGCTGAAGAATATCGTTGGTGCCGCGGGGAACTATGTCTCCAGTATCCTGCAGAATGCGACTGGAAATGGCGACTCTACGACACTTCCAATCTATACATATACTACTTATGAGCATGGCACTTCCCGATTTTTCGCAGACAGCACAATCTTGGTTGATGAGAATAAGGACAATTCATCCTTCACGGCGGCCTACGACAACTTTGCGGATAACATCGTATGTTTTGATTAACTGGCGTCTTGAACAAAAGCTAACTTTTTGAGAAAAGGAGAAAAAGCTAGTCGATGTCGCAATGAAGACGGCTTGGTATGTGTTGGTAGGAGAAGAGGACACGAAAGAGAGTGACTGCACTATGACTGGAGCATATTGGCTTGAAGGAAAGGACGGTGAATACCGTTGCTTCTATTTGTCCAGGCCAGAAAATGATCACGACTGCAGTGATGGCGACCCCTCGACGGTATGTTTTGCAATTTCCTCCTTCTTTCTCCTAAAAAAGGCGATAGATAACTGAATATTTACAGTGTGTTTCTGATGCCTGGCAAACCCCGTACAATGCCAACAACCAGATGGATACCGGTGTCTATACCAAACTGACAGACACATATGGCTTCGACTTGAAGGTAAATAGGCAGCCATTTTGCTTACAGGAAAAGTTCTAATAAAAATATAGGCTTACTATACCTCATTGATCGATTGCTATCTCAATGGGAACGATGAGGTTGACGTGACGGTTACCACGAACAATGGGCAAATTCCGCGGTGCTTCTACAGCGGATATGTTAGAAGTGGATACTGGTACGACGACGGAACACTTATGTTAAATCTATTCTTCAACGATTTCTGAGCATCGCCGACATGAGATACTGCAAATGTGGGGAATGGGATTGTGGGGAAGGCCTCGCTGACATCGGGAGAGAGTAGCGAAAAGTCCCACGAGGTGCGAGTTGGAAAGGAGATTCATGGTTGTGTAGTACTGTCATCTTTTATTTCCTTGTGGTCACGAATAGGGGAATCAGCGACAAGAGCTAAGATGGAGATTACCTCGGCTTTCTGATCTTGAGGCGTTTCCGTGCTAGGCTAGAAGGACAGAGGCGCGATGCCCCATAATAATTACAACATCTTAATTGCGATGAGCGGAACCCCCAATTCTAGGCCTTGTACGAGCTTAGATCTTGTATGGGCCAAAATCTCCAGTTGTGAGGCGCTTGTCTGCAAAGGAAGCAGTGGAGAACGAACTTAGAATTTGACTTAAAGTAGAATGCTAGTCCTTAAGTTCAGCGACTGAGCTTATTTTGAGCCGACACAGCGCTTCAGGATTCCTCCATAATCATACGAATCCGGCGATCCCGGAACTAAAGGCCACTCGGTCGGCGTTACGACGCCCGAGGCCGGAGCTCGGGCTGCATGCTACGCCTCGTTGCAGTTCGCTTGGAGGTGCTCCACCGCATTCCCGTGGGTCACCAGAAGGCGGGGGAAGTCGGAGATATGGAATTCTGGCCGTTGCATGCGAGGCCTACGTAAACAGATCTGTATTTGGCTCGAAACATAGGAGCAGTGATCAAGTACGTTGATCCCGAGTAGCCAAGCTCAGATAAAAGAACATCGAAGAGGTTTAATTTTTTGCCGGCACTGCATGTGGGACTTTGTAAGGTTGCAGCCGCCACGCTGAACCTTGAGTTTGAGTCGAATTGCGCTAATCGACTGCGACCGTGCGGGGCGAGGCGAGGCAATGCGAGGCTCAAGCGCGGTCGTTCTGCAGACTTCGACATGATACATGTGCGAATGAGCACAAACGAGCAGCGGCTATTCTGACTATACTGTCAAGATCATCATAAATAGATTAATTATCCCAGAGCATACTGAGACAGTTGCCTTCCCAGCGTGCTCGTAGGGGCTGGGATCTGGGGCCCCACAGTTTGTTTCTCGTCTTGGTTTTCGGTGGCGCGGACTGTCCACGGGTGACATGTCTTGCCACAATGCGATTGTGAGATGGAAAGAAAACTCAGTGGGATCTGAGATCTGAGATATGAGGTCCAGATATATCTGGAATTAACATCAAGTTGGGTCTCTGTCAATTGTCCGAGAGAACGACGCGATCGCAACTCAAAATCGCACGGCCCCAATGCTGTCACATTGACCGCGAGTTTCTCGGCATTCAATGATTCGACACTCCAAACTCCGTACTCCTTCGGTAGGGGATCTTCTAAGACAAGGATTCTCCAGATTATACCTAAATTCTCTTTTCTGCAGCTGACTAGGGAAGTTAGTATTTCGCGAGGTGAGGAGAATTGTTGAGATGTGATTGATTCCAGCTCTTGAGGCCCGGCCAACGCCCCCTACCGCCGATACCGCCGCTCGCAATCCTCCGGCACTTGTGATACTTTGCACTAAACACGTGGATGGCGGCAGGGATATGACCTTTCCAAGAACTATAGGAAAACCTAGTTTGACAACTGCCGCCTTAACGACACTTCTTGTTAGGTAACAGTGCATTGCCAACGAGGACGAGAACCAGGATGCATTCTCAATTTATCATGGCAAGGAAGGCGGCTGAATACGCTAAAGGGGGACCGGAGCTGCGACCGGAACTGCAACGGTAAGACAAGGGTTGTTGCTCGCTCGTGCAAGTAGCGGAGGCCATGACATCAACTTGAAATATGAACCGCGTGGATTTGATAATTAGAGCATACATGCGCGATCATCGTTTCCACCTATGTACTTCGTAAAGAGAATCGATCTTCTAACCCCAGATTTCATTCGTCTTCCACTTTTTTCTTTCTTCTCTCTTCTCCATCCGATCTGTTACTAAAAAATCTCGGCGTAGACCCATCGAGTCCCCCATTAACCAAGCCCCTAATGCACACCAACACCTATTGCGGAAATTACAGAGCAGCACGAGCAGCCCAAGCAGCCACTACCCCGGACTCTACCCCGTATACCAACCTCTTTTGAGGCCGGGATGGGGCGACCCGGGGCATAGTAAAGGTATTCCTGTGACATTCTACCGAGGTCGGTCGCATCCCGCCGCCTCCACAATTGGAATTGTGGGGAAAATGCACCAAGTCGGCACTGTCGTCGATCACCGGGGACCGGCGAGCACCGAAACTGCACCCTCGTACTTATGTGTTGAGTTCGCGCAGCACCCTAGCGCTTTGTATAGCACGATCCAGCCTTTGATAGCATATCTATATGATATAACAGAAGAGTTCGGCAACGGTGGTCTATCTCGAATCATTCATCCCCCACACTCACACCATCTTCACATTCCAATCGACCCGCTTGCCGCATTTCATCGCCATCATGGGAAAACCATTCATGGGATTCCGGGGCAATGGCCTCCTCAGAGCCGCAGTCTGGCTCGTTGTATTCCCGACATTTACTTGCTACGGTTATAATATGAGTGTGGCCGGTGGTCTTTTGACCCTGGACGCGTTCAATCGCCAATTCCCACAAATGGACACAATCAACACCACGGGCGCTACTCAACAGGAAAATTCGACTATTCAAGGTTCGTAAACGACTCTATGCATGACATCATATAATTTAAATGGTGATCATCCCTAACAGATCATGTTTACTAGGCACGGTTATTGCACTCTACACTGTCGGCGGTATCTTCGGCGCGCTTTCTTGCGTTTATCTGGGCGATCTTCTTGGACGACGAAAGGTCATCTTCGTCACTAATTTTATCACCATCATCGGCGCGGTTCTTATGGCATCCGCCTTCCAATTCGCTCATTTCATCGTTGCTCGACTCATTCTTGGCCTGGGTATCGGTGGATATGTTGCTACCGTCCCTGTCTGGCAATCTGAAATTTCCCCTGCACACAAACGAGGCTCGAATGTTGTGACGGACGGTATTTTCGTTGGTGCTGGCGTGACTCTTGCCCTGTGGATCGACTTTGGCCTTTTTTTCGTTGAGGACAGCTCCGTCTCGTGGCGTTTCCCCTTTGCCTTCCAGATCGTTCTATCTCTTATGGCTATGATCAGCATCGTCTTCCTCCCCGAATCTCCTCGTTGGCTCATTAAGGCTGGCCGCCGTGACGAAGCCCGGGTGGTTCTTGCAGCCCTGATGGATGTCGATGAAGATGCTCCCACTGTTGAAGATAGCATCGTTTCTATTGAGACAGCCCTCCTTGTCTGCGGCTCCTCTTCTTGGAAGGATATGTTTACAAATGGCAAACAGCGTCTTTTCCACCGAACCTATCTCGCCGCGACCGGTCAAATGTTTCAGCAGATGTGCGGTGTTAATCTGATCACCTACTACGCGACAACCATTTTCCAACAATACCTCAGCATGGACCCCGTCCGCGCTCGCATCCTCGCTGCTGCTATGGGTCTTATGCAGCCCTTTGGCGGTTACCTTGCCTACTTTACCATTGATCGTCTTGGCCGCCGACCACTGATGCTCTACAGTGCTGGTGCCATGTCCGTCTGCATGGCTCTTCTGGCTGGCTGCACTTCGGAAGGTGCGAAGAACAACACTGGCGCCCTCGTTGTGGCCGTCATTGCTCTATATTGCTTCCAGTTCATTTTCACCGTCGGCTATTCCGGCTTGACCTTCCTTTATGCCGCCGAGATGGCACCTCTTCAGATCCGTGCGACCGTCAGTGCTGTGGCGACTGCCACCGTCTGGGTCTTTAACTTCCTGCTGGCAGAAGTTACCCCGGTCGGTTTCGCTAGCATCGGAAGTCGTTACTATATCGTGTTCGCCGTTTTCAACGCGGCCATTGTGCCCTCTGTCTACTTCTTCTTCCCCGAGACCAAGGGTCGCTCGCTCGAGGAGATCGACGAGATCTTTGCGCAGTCAAATAGCATTTTCGACCCCCCGCGTGTCGCACGTCGCATGCTGAGAATGCAGACCACTGAGGCTGCTGGTTCTGAGAGTGGCGAGAATACTGGCTCTAATGACGATGAGGTCAAGCCCGGCCTCAAGGCATAAGCTACGAGATATGATATTTTGATCGAACTGGGTTCGAACACTCAACATGAGTGATATTTTTATTTGTTTTTGGCTATTGGATGGCTATGGAATTAACCAAAGGTTATTTGGCAATGGCACATTACCAGGGCACAGGCCACTCGGGGACAAGCCGGGCTAGACTGAGACTGGAAACTGAGAAATGGTAAATGAATTGTACATAGGATGCATTGCGAAAGATCTAGGAGCATACAATACCCAACAGAGATCTATTTTGATGAATACTTGATTCTTTTATGTACTATTTTTCTAAATTAACTATCGTAATTGCCGTCGCATCCTATCTATCTTATGGGGCGAAATGCCACGGTGGGTCTGGTTATCGACCGATGATGATATTAGATAATGCTTTGACACAGCTGCATTTCTGGGATCCACTTCAAAATACAGCTAAGCCTCGGCCGTGGGCCTAAGAAAAAGCTGCCGGTCAAAATATTTGAGTCTATAGACCCGCGGCCGAGAAATCAAGGGATAGTTCTGCATCCAAGCTATATAACTAGCATAGTTTGAATTCATATTCTTGCCATCAGCAATACAAGAATCCAGTCGCATCTGCAAAGTAAAGAGCCTTGTTACAACATGATATCTGAAGAACCCCCAGTCATTGATTTCAGCCGTAAGTTTAGGCGGATAATCCATTTTCCTTGCTTCTATGAACATCCACTGAAAATCAACCGTACGAGCAGCATTTCATGGCTCCGATGAGTCGAAGAAAGTGGAGCTCGTAGAGCAAATTCGACAAGCTTGCGAACGCTTCGGGTTCTTTCAACTGATCAACCATGATGTCCCGCTGACTCTTCAACAGCAAGTGATCAAACAAAGCAAAGAGCTTTTTGATCTACCTCTTGAAGTAAAGGAAAAATACGGGAAAGGTAAAGTCAATAAATCTCCATTTTTAAAACCAATTTTCTGTTGTTCTAATTTACTAAAATTAAAAAGACATTGGAGGATACAACAGAGGATATGAATGTCTACGATCCCAAAATTTTGAGAAGCAGGGAAAAGGAGATCTGAAAGAGGGATTCTACATGGGGAAGAATCTTCCTCTCAGCGATCAATATGTAATTGATAAACGATTCGGCCAGGGGCCCAACAAATATCCCGCGGAACTCCGCGACCCGAAGGAGTTCCAACGTGTGATGGAAGAGTATCACAAAACAATGACTGCATTAGCAGTAAATCTTCTCCAGGTCTTGGCATGCACACTGAACCTGAATACGAACTTTTTTGATGATTTCTGCGAGCATCCAGTGGCTGCTCTTCGGCTTTTGCACTATCCGCCCCAAGATCCAGCCACAATCGAGGTCGAGAAAGGCAGGTCGCAGTGCTCGAATCACTCAAAATTTTAACTTTTACTAATTTACTCTATAGGAATTGGCGCCCACACGGACTTTGGCGCCATAACAATGCTCCTCCAAGATGAGACAGGTGGTCTGCAAGTTTGGAATAACTTTTCCTCGGAATGGGTGGGCGTGACTCCCATTGCCGGAGCTTACGTAGTAAATCTGGGAAATATGATGATGCGCTGGACAAATGATCGCTATTTGTCAAACTTGCACCGGGTGATTAACAAGGGGGGCAATGAACGCTTTAGCGTGCCGTTCTTCTTTTCCGGGAACCCTAACTATACAGTCAAGTGTTTGCCTAGTTGCGCAGATCCGCAGATAGGAGCCAAGCATCCCCCAGTTAAGGTGCATGACTGGATGAACGGACGTTTTGCGGATACCTATGGATCATCGAAGGGCAAGGCATTCGGAGATCTCCGTCAAGATGTTGTTGCTGGAATGGATGCTAATAGAGTTTAACGGGGTGAATTTATGTGGAGATGGTGATCATACGAAATGAGCGGCTGTGCCAGTTGTAGATCATTTCTATTCTATTCCTAACCGAAATTGATGATTTTCAATAGCCAGATGAAACAAGACTTTATTTTTTCACATGTCAAATACACTGAAGATGTCTTCCCAGGCCATGTTATCTCCCAAAAGAAGATCTGACATATGCGAAAGACATGGATCAGATGAAAGCTCCATAGCCACATTCGGTCCCGAGTCCGAATCATCAACTTCTACTCGAGATATTATATCTTTCAAGGAGAATTGTTTTCTAGTACCTGACTTGATGGCTTGCTCATTATCCAGTAAACTTTCAATGAGCCCGACCCCTCTTTTGGCAATAGTGCTTTTGCTTTGGTTAACTTCCAAGAACTGCAAGCTCCGCAAAGCCAAATCTCGAATTTCATGCGTTTCAAAAATTTGCTCATTCTCGTCCTTTGAAAATATCAGTTCAAATAGCAGCCAAACCGCTGCTGTCAAGACCTGTGCATTCACGGTCCATAGATTGCTAACGATATATGTGTCAGGATTATCGGGGAGCGAAAGGAAGTCCATAAGGCAACGACGCATGAGTGGAAGGCAAGAAATCTGGACCAAATAATTTCGTGTTAGATCGAATGCAATGTCGAACCAATCTTGACATACCTTAGTATATGCGAACCATGGGTCTTTCAAGCTTATTATTTGAAAATGGCGATGAATACAGTAGAACTAGTTTCCGAGATTCAGCAACGGACTGTGATTGATCGGATTTTGGTAACAATTATATACCTTGTGTGCGATGGATATAGAGAGAATGCGATTTTGCTGGACGATATTTCTCGCGGTTTCATCATCATGATTTTCTTTGAGTCTGAAGAAGCGCGGCATTTCGTCAACCAGCTGCTTGAGCTCACGGTCGGCCTGTAGAACCTCCGAATAAAGGTTCCGCAGATCATCGGCACTGTGACCACCCCCTGATTTTGTTCGCTTGCACATTCTGTCTTGCAGTTCCCAAATTATAACCGATCCTAAAGACAGAAATGATTAGCCATGTGCTAAGAATTTTCATTTTGATAGACGACACCTTTATTGAGAACAAATGTATAGCTTCCTTGTGAGTAGCGATCTTTGTTCTGCTCAACAATATCCGTTGGCAGACCCATTTTTGAAACGTCCTCGTAGCAGTTTTTGGGCATCTCGGTGTCGAATTGGGAAGGATGGATATTGTAGGTGTTGTTGAATGGGATTTGTAGCCAATCCTGTCGCACTAAAAACCACCACGCTCTCTTAGAGACTTCACGATCAATTAAAAGTTTGCTTCTGGTATCTGGGTCATCGCATTTGAGAATGCGGAGGGGCGTTTCGGAGCCTAGACGATGAATACCGAGGCATTGTGCAATTCGACTTGCGCTCGCAAGTAGAACGGAAATTCTATCTGACTGTCCTGAATTGTGCCCGATGTAAATCAGGAGGCAAATGGCTTGGACGCTGTATATGCTATGGTTCTTCATAAAATCCACCGCATTGAGGCTGTCTATACTTTTTTGATAGCACAGTAATGATAACTCAACTGATGAAGAGGTTAACGTGGTATTTCCCCCTAGTTTATTCGAATTAGAGACTTACCACCGGAGTAAATCTCAAAGTCTTGTAGTTTTGAAGGATGTGTGTGGTATAAAGTGACCTCATCTCTTGTCAGTCAGTCTGTTCGGGTATCAAACGGGATAACCAAGACGCACAGAAAGCATTGAATAATATAAAGAAAGCCATGCATCTCTATTTGGCGTCCTGGGAAGCTCAAACATATCTTTGCACTGCTCACGAAACGTCGGCATGTGAACAACATTGTGAATCCAGGCAATATAGTCCTCGTGATAGGTCATCAATTTTTCAACCTGAGCCGCTGTAAAAATTAAATTAATACTTTTAGATACATCTCCATCTTTATTCTGTTGTTTGGGATGATTGAAATCAGCAGCATCCAGAATTTGCTGACGGCTAAACGCCAGAAACTCTAGCGTAACAGCAGCATCTTGAGAGACCGTGTCCAATATTTTGTGTCGCTTCTGAGAACATGCGGAATGGCGTTTACTTTGGATTGAGACTTCGGGTGTCACCGATAGTGGCAGAGATGTGTCGGAAACGTTATTATAGCCTAGATGGTGTTCAATTTCACTGGGTTGGGGCCCCTTGCTCGAGAAGGGCTGCGTCTCTGGTGCTGAATTCTCTGGTTCATTCGTTGAATCCTTTCCCCTCTGTCTTTCACTGACACGATGGCGAAGTCGACATTCGGATTCAATTCCTCTCTCAATACAGGAGAAGCAAGGGATATGTTTCGAGCACCGCAACTTTCTTCTCGTGCATTCAGTACATGAATAAGACGGGCGCGCTCGCTTAATCGGGGGCTTCGGCGTTCGTGGGCCAGTGGGAGATTTCCGAGTCATTCTGCCTTCCGCTCCGAAAAAGACCAAGGTTGAGAGTGATGGCCTGTCTTGGTCCGGCCGAGAATATGAGTGAAGGGAGCCTGGCAAACTCTCCCATAACGGCGTCCTCCGAGATGCGGGGAGACCCCAGGCTGATAGGAAAGTGGCTTATCACTTTTAACGTAATCAAACGCCGAACGGAAGCATCAACCAATGCTATTATGAGCAACGTTATGTGAGACTTTCCAAGTGAAGAAGCCAAGGTTGCATTCATCTAAAGCCTTGTAGATGATTCCGAGTACGCCAGAACCACAAACTCGGCTTGGGTAAACTTGTTAGCCAAATGTTTGAGCATTTGAACTACCCCGGGATCCTTCGCGATATATTTCTCGTTCGCAATGGTGATAGAATTTTCGAGCTTTAAATAGAAAAATTCGAAAGCGATAGGTAATTTTATGTCTAGGGCCCTGGGATTCTCTGCCTAAATCATTTTTCCCTTGCCGCATTTTTGAATGCAATAGATGGTCCCAATCAGAACAAATTTCAGCATTGTCTAAACCATACCTAGGTATCTTGTCAATTTTGTAATTACCTCTGCTCCTGATGTTTGAGTTTATTGGATTCTGATTAATTTATCTTTCTTTAATCTATGGTACTCCTGTCCACTTCTACTCAAGATGGTATACCGACTTATTATGCTTCTCATCGCACTACCGATATTTCTTTGGTATTCTCTTAGATATCTTTGGAGCCTTTCAATTAACGACTGATCTTCTAGACTTTCGAACTGAGTCAAATAGACGTAGTTATCGAATTGCCACGAAAGGTTTTAATGACACCTGGGCATGGCTAGAACTTGAAAATGTGCCGACAATTACTCGTAGAATATGGCGATTGACAGTAGTGTCATGATTCAAGCCAAGAATATGGATGCACACCAGAGTAGGTCAAATTAAAAACCTTGGAAAGAAAATTTCCTAGGAGTCCACCTGGGCACACCTGGTGTTCCTTATAGTACCTAGGTAGTAATTAAACGGATCCGCCGGTGGAATATATATTCGCAACTTGAACTCCAGGGCTTGAACAGGGCTTCCAAGGTTGAACCTCCCAAGGTTCAAGGAAATTGACGACCTCCAGAGGCTTCAGGCTCGAGATAATAAGAAAAGATATAAAATTTAAATTTGGTAGTTTGAGACCTCGGGATATATACCTGCGATATCTGATCTAAGTGTATCAAGCATGAGGCAGCCCTGGAGAAATACAGAAATACACAGCCAATGGAAATCAGTGCGTGCGCACAAGTTTTTGGTCGTGCGGCAAATTTTCGCCCACAGTAAGCGACCACGATATCAATCCGTCAATTACAGAGACTACAACCGATAAATTATTTCGGAATCTTGCGTATACAAGCATTATTCTTACATTGACAGCATTCCCTGTCGCTCCAGGTTTCGTGCTCGGTCTGGGGCTTCGGACTAATAAAAACGCGGGCCTCGGGAACCGAAAACCTGCTTGTCGCAAATTGCTTTTCTCGTGGAATTTTACCCTTGTCGATCATGCAGATACCCATGAATCGCCACAGAATCGATCGGGCCAGCTAGGCTAGTTGAACGGAAAGCAGTCGGATTAAAACCATGACTGCAGATAACCTTCTGGTGGCGCTTCGCCTGGCGATAAAGTAAATACACGCACCCATGCTCACATCGTGCACTCTGACTGGATGCTAGAGAACCCCACACAGCTATACACCGATTAAACTTGTCTCGAATTGCATTCGGCCTGCCCCCTCGCACGAGCGATCCTTCGCTATATACCCTCGGAATTTCACGCTACGCGGAGTTATACTTTGGCCTAGAAGAAGCGTGGCTCTCATGCATTGGCGATCCCGCGGATTGGATTTGGGACTGGTCGGCTAAAGTCGTTCAAGGCGCCTCGATTCCCAGTGACAAAGAGCGAGTTCGACACCTCCTTCGCCTCCTTTACATTCCGGAACTTCCTCGGACGAGGCCCCTCGAAGCCGATCTTTGCCTATTAAGATCAATGGGTCACGATCAGCTGTTGACTCAGTCACAACACTTTGGGAGCAAAATAAGAAATGATTTATACCAACGGATTATGGAAAAGCCACATCTCCTCGTTGCTTATATCTGGGTTATGTACTCGGCTATTCTCTTCGGCGGACGCGAAATTCGCGCTCAGCTGTTGAAAGCCGGGCCCGAATTCTGGGGCTTGTCGGTGAAAGACTTTGCCTCTGAGCGAATACCATCTCCTTTATCATTCTGGAATATAGATGATAATATGGCCGTGCGAGCCAAACTCCGCGATCGCATACTTAATGCCGAACGTTTATTGACATCCCAGGAGAGACAAGATGTTCTGGAAGAGTCAAAAGAAATATTTCGCAAGTTTGAGTTACTAACGATTAGTCTAGATGAAGATACGAACAATTTTAATGTCTAATTTCAAAATATTGAAAGGATCCATTAACTTTTACTTGTATTATCTCTTTTCGAGGAACTCTTGAACACGGAGTTTGTTCGCGAATTGCGAAATATCTTCGAACTTCTTGAATAATGTTATAACGTTGCAAAATGTTTCCGTAAAATAGGACATGATATAATCATAAAAGAGCGTGTTCACATAAAGTTCGGCAAATGTCATTCCCTCTCATCTTCCCTCTTTCAGGATGAAGTTCGTTTCCCTTCATATATCAATCCCGTAGATCCCATGGGCTAGCAGCCGAGTTCGCCGTGGTTGTTGCTGATGCATTTGTCTTTTTATGGTCAGTCAAGAGTCATCATGGTAGCTCATATTTCACAACAATAGACTTACTCAAATCGATGTGGGCTGGAGCGTATGGGTGTCCCTCCTTAACATTGCGGCACATGCATTCCAATTCAGTGTGCCCTCGAAGACTGCAGTTGATGCAAGAGGCGGTAAAGTCGCCACTTATCTCAATCTTAGCTTTTTGTAGGATGAAGCTCTTTCATTCCGAACTCACTTCTTTCCACAATTGAGGTCCCCCTTATTGTTCTTGAGACAACGGTTTAGGTCAAGTGTACTGGTTCGGTATTGACCATGCTCATTTTCACGGCAGTCTGCACGAATTTGGGTTCCCCTTCCCTGAATATTCTGGCAAGTGTCGGCGAACTTGGAGGCACCAGAAACCGCAACAGTTAGAAGAGGAAGAAGCGCGAGACATTTCATGAAGAACTGCATATTGTGGAGGTGTGTTGATGGCTATTGGTCTGTAAATAAATGCTTTTTGAACTGGCTCTGAATGGAGTGGACTCTGTTCACTCTCCTACTATTTATATTTCTTTCGGTAGACAAAGCGTGGAGAGAAACAAGTAGTTCTCTTGCCATATTCCGATGACATAGATTTGATGCATGCCATGGCAAGGGACCTCTGAGGTCCGGTTCCTCCTTACTTAGAATCCTTCACCTGCCCAAGAGTAGGCACGAGGGCCGTGAGATCATCCCGCATGTGTCTATGGATATTGACATGACATACAACGCGAGAATCCATTTTTCAAATAGTATAGCTTTTCAATAAAGCGCGAATTAACATAACGATTGCAATCTTTCGTTATAATTCTGTTTTGCTCTCCAGAGATCTTCAGATAAAGTGAACTGGCCTTGCTGAAATGGGATGCTCAATGCTTAGATACGTAGATGGACCCGAAGTATCTGGATATGCAAGTTGCGATCATTTGAATTGTACCTAATTGTCTCAATCTAGATCAATGCAAGTCAGAGTATTCTTTTTATCACTCACTTTCTCGGACTCAGATCGGAAGAGGGCGGTGAGATTGAGGTCGCACTCGATCGACTGTACGTTAGTGCCGATCCCTATTCTGCAAGGGGAATTGATCACAATACCTGCGGATAAGTACATGTAGCCAGTGATTTGATTGTATTACCTCATCTTTGAAACGGGCCCAATAAGAAGCAGTCTTGGTGCATGGGACGGACTAATCGAAGAGACATTTAATTGCCTACATCATGGAAGACTCGCGTCGAGCGCGTGCAGCACCCAAATCCCACATGACAATGACAGCAGGAGATAGATTTATCTTGCCATGTTTTCCTTCGCATGCTTCTGGTTATGAACAACCCTTGATTTAGAGTAGGGGTCTTGGCCATGTGCTCCACGGATGTCAAAGCTACTACAAGCAATTCGAGCCCTTGGTTGACTCAGTTTCTACCAGTTTATCTGAAGGGTTGTCATGAAATTTGAGTATCACGAGAACGGCGAGGAAATTTTTCAAAACATCAAATATTTACGACAAAAGCGTTCGTTAGGCTTATTCATGACCATTGCTACTTTAAACCGTCATATCAAAAGCATTGGTCCTTCAAGTTCTTTCCCATGTCTTGGCTGGGAAAGATGTCTCACAAATTAGAGGCAAGGGAGAAGAATGGGGCATCTTGCTGGAAGACAGCATGATTCAGTGATGTTTGGACGCTGCGGGGACTGGTAGCCGATCATCCGATCCTAGGGGTCTCCCAGCCCCAAAGAACATTACGTTAAAATGCGAAAGGAGCGCCAACTTGTGTGAGACCAACTTGTGTGGGATCCTAATCCTACCAATGAAATGCCCTTTCAAGAAACCAAAGTTCGAAGCAGGTCACTTCATGTCATATTTGATCCACGGACCAGCTAAAATTGGCTGAGGTCAAAAAAGCATCGACAAAGCGCTCAGGGTTAGAAAACTGATAAATTGGATTTTTAAAACCCCAAGCCAGGGTTTTTGCCATCCCTGTCACAGCCCAGCCTTGTACCCTTGGATGAAAAGCCCCAGCTGTCACCGGCCCCCCCTGAGTCGTGGAGAATCTGGGGAAGCCCAATATCTTGTGGGGCACTAGTCACTTAGCGTCAAAGTGGTACGAGGTGCCGTTTGCAAGCTTGTTGCTTTAGGCCAATGGCGAGGCTGGCCACCTGCGCCGACCGGGATTAGGGCCATCTTCCCGTCTGGCCAAGGACTATTCTCCGGCTCGAAGCCAATCGCTTCAAATGCCCACCTCAATCCTGGCCAATTTTGTAAGATCGTTTCGGCTTCACGAGGCTCGACCTCACGAACACCAACGCGACCCCCGGAATGTCCTCTTGTGGGAGATACAACCGATTCATTTAGCCTAAAACATCCCCAGTGTCATCTTTCAAGTCCGTGTCCGTTTCTACACGTCTGCTTTTGGCGAGGAAGTGAGAAAGCTTAGTGAAGCCTTCTTACGCTTATCCCCGTTTTCGCAAAGCTCAAGCTCGCGTCCGGGATATTAGAAGGCAAACATTGGGGTTTATCCTATTTTGCCACAGGATATTAGGCGCAATGACCTTGCTACTGATCGAGCTGATGGCAAGATCACAAATAGCACAATCTTACTGTGTGTCTGATTTGCTCATACACCTCGGCTGATCCCCCGCTTCTAAAAACCACGCGACCGGGATGCCATAGAAAGAACCGGCTTGTCTTTATCCTATTTTGCCGCGGGATGATAGGCGAAATAGGCTGACTATCGATCGGGAGACCCTTGACTCTTAAATACTCTCCCTTTGCCAGTAGGGATGAGAAGCTGTGAATCTCGCATACACAGTTTGCCCCTGCACTTGAAGATACTCCAATTCTGAGATATTCAGCCTACCAGGCGGAAATACAATGGGGAAAGATACCTTCGAGCTGGGCGGCCAGCAATGGCCTAAGGTGACTTGGTGGAAAATGAAGGGGATGCGGTTTGTCTACCTCACCTTGTGGGCCGCAATGATCACCTCTGCAACCAATGGTCTGTCCGCCTCAGATAATCGTGTTTTAACGTCGCTGACATAGTATTCATAGGATACGATGGCTCCCTTATGAATGGCCTCGAAGCAATGGATTCCTGGAATGAATGTAAGGCATAACCCTACCGTTCAAACTTGCGCTTTGATCATTAACAAAAAATGCAGCCTACAATCATCCCACCGGATCAACTCTTGGCCTTCTTGCCGCTTCTATGTCGATTGGCTCAATGCTATCTATCCCGGTTGTGCCATATGTCGCAGATATTATGGGTCGCCGAGCCGGTGTTGTGATTGGCTGTATCATCATGCTTTTTGGCGTTGCGATGGTTTCCATTGGCTACAAAATCGCCTTATTTGTGGTCGGTCGTATAATTCTTGGATTCGGTCTTGGTATCGCACAGGTGAGGACACTATAACTACTTTTTAACCCACCACGGAGAACTGACTTGAAATATAGGAATGCTCACCGCTTCTGGTCACTGAGCTGGTACATCCCCAGCACCGAGCTATCTACAGTACTATCTATAACTCACTTTGGTATGTGGGTAGCTTGATCGGTGCATGCGTTGCATTGGGTATGTCTTTTTCTTCCCCATTTCATATACAAGATGGCTTACATTTTTTCAAGGCACAAATCATATCCATGGGAGTGCCTGGTCGTGGCGTGTTCCATGCCTTCTGCAAGGAATCCCGTCTATCTGTCAACTGGTCTTCATCTGGTAAGAATGAAAAGGAGGCGATACATAGCTTCTTTTTTCTTGTATGCTGATTATAATTCAGGACTGTCCCCGAATCTCCTAGATGGCTGATTTCCAAAGGAAGACTCGAGCAGGCCAAAAAGGTTCTAGCATATGTACACGCACAAGGTGACGAGGATGATGCTCTCGTCAATGTGGAATTTGAAGAGATCCAGCAGACAATTCAACTGGAGAAACAGTTCGAAGGTAATAGCTGGGCCGAATTTTGGTCGACACCGGGTAACCGACATCGTTCGATTATTCTCATTTCGATCGGCTTTTTCTCCCAGTGGTCTGGCAATGGAATCGTTTCATACTTCTTACCTCAGGTACATCATTAAAGCCGAATCAAGCTTCCTAGAGACTAAAATCTAACAATAACAGGTCTTGAAACTCATTGGAATCACCAATAGCAACACAGTCCTGACAATCAATCTCATTCTCAGCGCGGTAAATGTTGTTTCCGCCACTGGTATTTGCTTTTGGGTCGATTACTTCGGAAGACGCAAACTTTTCCTCACATCCAGTATCAGCATGTTGCTATGCTACGTCGCAATGACTATCGCGCTTGCAAGGTTCTCCATCGAGTCTAATGATGCTTCTGCACGAACCGTCCTCGTCTTCATCTTCCTTTACTACATTGCCTACAATATTGGATTCAGCGGTATGCTGGTTTCCTACTCATCCGAAATTCTGCCTTATCGCCTTCGTGCCAAGGGCCTGACAATCATGTTCTTCTGTGTTGATTTGAGTCTCTGGTTCAACCAATATGTGAACCCTATCGCCTTGCAGGACATCAAGTGGAAGTACTATATTGTTTACTGTGTCTTCCTGGTGTTTGAGATCTTTGTTGTCTGGAAGTACTATATCGAGACAAAGGAGATTCCACTGGAAGAAATCGTGAAGATGTTTGATGGAGATCGAGCGATTCTCGGCGGAGCTGC